CTCGTCCTTTGCGCCGTGACGTACACTTGACGAAATTTGGTGTACTCCAATGGCAATACTTCTCCTTTGTATGAAGTATTCATTGAGCATTCCTTTTTTTGAGAATTTTATTTCATTAATAATAATTCGTTTCTTTTTCTCTTCCCCAGACTACATCATGTATTTTATGATTTCCACAATTAGATGATACATTTCCTAACAAGTTCTTTGGATTGTTGATAAAAGTCAACTTTTCACGTTACATAACATTCATAAAATATTCATGTTTCATGACATACCGCATTATTTTCAATGGTAGGTTTAGTACTTCTTAAGCAAAATCATAAATGTCATAACCTCTATCTATTGTCTTGATTTTTCGAATGTTTTAATAATTATTCTGCAATTCTAGGCGAAGACGAATCCAACAAATCGAAAATTATGTAAAAAGTCCAGCCGTTCATATCTTACAAATACAATTTTGCGACTTTGTTTCATATATTGGATGATTTATTTTCTCAATTTTTCAAATAGTTAATTAGTTATTCTGCTATTCCAGGCTGAGACAAATTTAAAAAATCAAAAATAATGAAAATTGGCCCAATGGTATATTTTTTTTTTCAATAAATTGATGGATGGTAGCCGTTACTGCGTGGTAGGAAATCATCATGAAAAATGGAAAATGAAACTTTCCGTTTTTTACCACTTTTATTCGTAACTACCTAATGTTTCTTCAGTTTCGTCCTATAAGGACATTTTCAAACAATTCTTCGGGATTTTATATACATGACATGCTTCAGGTTCAGGTGTGGCAGATACCTAACGGAAAAACAACAACTAACCGAGCTAAGGCGCACAGAGTTGAATTAAAACCATTAGGCATCTGTGCAAGGTCTTCGATTTGGAAGATTCGTCGCAAGTTAATTCCCACTATGAAAAGCATAAATTAATTTATTTTTGTTTGAAGGTGATTGACAATGTTTCGTGATGAATTTCACTAGTTCGGACTTCCATTGTCTATTATATAAAATGATTTGAAATCCCTGAAACAAGTAAAAAAGAATAATTAAAAAANCGTTCATTAACACTATTATTGCCAAATGCCTGGTTAATTTTTTGGGCTGTTTCGGCACCGCTCTGGTTCGATTTGAATTCCTAGTCCCAACAAAACAAGTTTTTCACATAAAAAAGATTTTGTCTTACAGTTACTCATGTATATGACAAATAGGTGAATAATTTTTCATTAATGTAAATTGGAGGCGAAATTTACCACTAATTCGAAATTTTCAAAGACTCATTTTAAAACTATTGAGATTTCTAATACTCACAGAAATTGTTATTCACGCCCAAAAGGAATTATTTTCAAAGCTTGAAGGAACTTGTAAATTCATCGTTTTTAGAAGTAATGTTATTGATTGATTAACCTATGACTTTGTAAGTACGTGTGGCAACGAAAAAACAACAAATAACCCAGCTAATGCAGCGTAGAGAGTTGAAGTAAAACCAACAGGCACCTGTGCAACGTCTTCGATTTGGAAGATTCGTCACAACTTATTTCCCACTATGAAAAGCAGAAATGAATTTCATTTGGTTGATACGACCAACCGATAGACCAGTTTTGGGGTGATTGCCCCATCATCAGTACCGGGAATGGTCTCTTCAGAACGGTGTGAACCGTCTAGTCATGATACTCGGACCGTTCACACATTCAAACGAAATTAATTTCTACTTTTCAAAGTGGGAAATAACTTGCGACGAATCTTGTAAATTGAAGACGTTGCACAGGTGGCTGATGGTTTTACTTCAACTCTCTGCGTGGCATTAGCTGGGTTAGTTGTTGTTTTTCCATTGGGTATCTGCCACACACATCTACAAAGTCGTAGGGGGGTTTATGAAACACTTACTTATTGGGAACTTTGCAGATGAATGTCTTCCTAATTTGTTAGTTCTCAAAAGTCTGAAAGTCAATCTGAGGGTTTATCCTGTCTGATGTACTTTGGCAAAGTAATATTTCAGATATTAGTTCAATCCATCTCCTGTTGATGCCAACAGTTGATATATGGGCGTCGAGAAAACTGTTACAGTTTTGGTGTATCGAAACAGCGTTCGTATTCAAATCATGATGTTATTTAATTCGAAAAGGGGTATATTTTGAGGAGAGGTTAATTTTTGGGAAAGAAAGGTTTTGGCTTTGTACTTTTCGATCCTTATACAAAAAAGATGTTGGAAACTTTCGAAGAAAAGAAAAAAATATTCAATTTCAAAATAAACTCTCCAAANCCTTGTCGTGGTGATAGTTGGTGATAGTTATCGGAACGAAAATTTCAATTGAAAATCTGTACAAGCGCTTGTACAGATTGAAAATTGATAACGAGAAAGCTTTTATGTTGACATTGGCGAATTTTAGTTCTTTTTGAATATCTCCGGAACTGACACGAATTTCCTCAATTTCAAAACGTCATTTATATGGGCTTTAAAACGAGCAACTTTCCTCTAATTTGAACGGTTTCTGATTTTCTCATGCTTGCCCTCTTTATCTTGAACACAAAGTTTATAACTTACTCAACTTGACCAGTGTTTAATTGAACTGTCATCATATCTTTTGTTGGCCTTAATAGAAAAACAGATATGATTTTTAATTTAGTCAATTATAGTTTTTTTAACCAGGGAGATGTTATAGTACTTGGAAGAAGTCAGTGTAAGTGATAATTGTAACTAACATCAACAATTAGGTACGGATATTAAAAATTAGAATTGCAATGAAGCACTTTCAGCAAAAGTATCACAATAGGTATTATGAATTTGTTGTTGAAATTTTGTTCACTTACAAAGTTGATCAATTTCATTCACTTCACTATTAATACATGAGGATGCTTAGAAACAAAACTAGCAGTTTGAATAATCATTGATATAATTATAATGTTATAACAGAGTTTCTAGTATCATTCACAGTATGATCACGAACTAGATTCAGGAAGATATCCGTTATTTATGATCACACTGTATAATCAACACATGTGGTAATTTAGGTGCAAGCTCAAAAATTCTGGAAAGAGCCAAACTCCAAGGACTCTTGCTGTCAGTAGACCCAAGAAACCGGAATCCATTGTGGTGTTGATTGAACTTGTTCGATGGCTGTTTCCAGAGCAGCTATCGTTTCATCAATATCATTATTGATTATGGTTAGATCAAAGTAGTGCCCATATGCGATACGAAGCATTTCGGATTCTTTGGCCAATCGTTCCAGAGCACCATCGTACTGAAAAAAAAATTGAATTTTATGTGTGAAATTTCAATATCTAACACCTATAGTGGAATAATAAACACAAGTATGAGGCACACAAATCTAAGTCCTATATACTGCTATTCTGAAAGATTCATCGTCTAATAGTGTTCCAAGAGATGCAACAGGTAAATCATTCAGCCAGGCACCCGATTCCTAGATCATTCTTGCTTTCAGACGAACCTTATCACACTTGTAGATTTCAGAAGTTTATCAGTTATAACGTTCAGAAGAGGTCGGTCCCATGCACTTTGTATTTTCTTTTTATCTGTAGGAGAAGCAATATTAGTTGCGGTATGCCAAAGTGATTCACCTTCAGCATAAAAAACGTCTTGGATATTGATAAATATGGAAGGAAGGAAGGAATCGATAAGATCAGAAACACTATTGACTGATGACAGAAAAGCTGGTAAAGCTACGGAAGAAGTCAAACGTAGCCCTAGTCTGCCAAGGTTAACAGGAAGCGTTGCTTGGAGCCATGAATCATTATTGAAATGATTGTTTGTAACATATTTCGTCGTGTTGCTGAGTAAACTATCAAATTCGTTAAGCTCTAACTGACTTGACCAAGTGGGGGACATCTGAGGGCGTAGGTACATGAGATTTGGAGTCGCCAAACAATTTTTCAAAATAAAAAATGCAACGTGTTTTGGAAGTTCATTCAATCTGGTGGTCAACAATTTGAGTGATTCCCGTTTTTCTCGGAGATGTTCTGAAAGTGAATCTTTAGAAAGAGGAGCACCCAGAAGACTCCATTAAGACTTTTCCAAAATTCTTATGCCAGGAGCCAATTTCAAAATTATGGATTCGGAAATATTATTCGGAGTTGAAAGAGTAATCAACTCGCATTTTTCAGAATTTAGTTCAAGTACAAGATGTTTTGAATAATATAATCAATGATTTTTTCTAAATCCTTTGAAACGCTGTTTTCATCGCCAGCGATTGAGCCATCGTCCAAATACCAACAATTAAATTCGGATGATAAGCTTCTAGTGAGTTCGTTGATGGTCAGACAAAAAAGAGCAGGTCCTAAGGGATCACCTTGTTGAATACTTCTCTCAGACAGAATCAGATGTTTACCAAAACTCAAATAGAAAGCTGATTTATAACACTGACTTAAGAAGGGATATAATCCTGGAAACGAATCTTTAACCTTACGAAGCATGATGTTTCTATCAATCATGTTGAAGGCATTTTTGAAATCTATTTTCAGAAGAATTTTTGAATCGGACTTTGGATGAAGACTAATATATCTGCGACCAGCATGAGCAACAGCTTCACATCCACCTGCAGTACCGAAACCAAACTGTAATGGACGTAACATCGATCCTAGTTCCTCTTTAATCTTCATACAACCAAGTTTACTTAACACTATTATAAACAACGTCAGTTTTTTGTGTTCGCGAGTTTGGTTTAACAACGACCATGTATCAAATTGAGGAACAAAATCAAATTTCTTTTGAAATATTGGGATAATCATGTGCAGCGATATCAAAAAGAATATGAAAATTTTGAAAAGTGGCGTAAAAGCAAGGAAGGTAAAGGTGGTACTATTAGCCTATACGAAAGGAGAATCAGAGGTTTATTCTCCTAACTCGCTGTGGACCAAGATTTCAATGTTTGCACTCTTAAAATTGGGAAATTCTCAGCTCTACACGGGACACGTTTCGCAGATCCTCGGCTGCTATGTTTGTAGAAAATGGTGGTAATCTACTATTGGTAAAAGAACTTGGAGGTTGGAATTCCTCAGCGGTGGCAGAGTCGTATACTGTGGTCGTATATTGAAAATTCAGTTTCAAAGAGATAACGACACTATTTCATAGTGATGAGGCCATACCGACACCAAGTTGAAACACTGGTGCTATAGATGGTAAAAAGATATTTGAACAAGTGATTTCTTAACGGACGGATGTTGTTAACATTACCTTTTCAATTGCCATCTGAGTACCGTTAAATCAAACTAACAGTACGAGATTACGAGAAAGTCTTTGAAAATCCTGAACGCTCTGAATAAATATCTAGGAAAAGTTGAAAGAATTTCCAACAACACCTGAGTGGTTTGAAGTATGTTGCATTTGGGGAAGAGCTTATGTTTCCATTAGTAAATCGTCTATTTGCTTTTCACACCAACGTCCCAAGAAAATGAAGGATTCCACACCATCCGTATAGAAAATAGCTTCCGGAGAAAATGTCTGACATTTTGATACGACATGTTTGATAATATACTGATTGAATGTTACTGGTTTTGTATGCTAATAACAACTTGAAACAAATGATATCATTTGATTTGGAAAAGGTCAAACAGTGGTGTGATTCTAATTCACTCTCCTTCAACGTAGACAAGACCAAAATTGTAAACTTTTAAATTTAGCTATGACAACTTGCTATTAGATGGTAGGAAGATAGAAGAAACGCTTTGCATGTCTGCATATTGACAATAAGTTGAATTTTGGGGAACATATCACATCTTTATGCACCAAAATGTAAACTTTCAAATTTACCTATGACAACTTGTTATTAGATGGTAGGAAGATAGATGAAACGCTTTGCACTGTCTGCATATTGACAATAAGTTAAATTTTGGGGAATTTTGATCTTCAGGTTCATTTGCTGTCAAAATCGTCTCCAATGAAATTGATATATTCACTACTAGATTGACTTACTCATCTAAGGTATTGCATTGGGGATTCTGTAGTAAACAAACATTGAATCAGATCTTCGTGTTGCAAAAGAGATCTTTGCGGTTTTTATGTTGGGCAAACTATAGAGATAGTTCTCAAAGTTGTTTGCTTAATTCATAAATGATATAGCATTGATTCTCCTGACGCACATAGAATTCACAACACAAGACAGAACAGTAGTAATAATATTCATCTGCCAATACCCAGATTGACTCTANTGAAAGTGATTCTAATGTTATATCAGAGTTTTCTTTTTAAAATCAAGAAGAAAGGGAGAAATTTCATTGTGGCATTTTGTTGGTGAATGAAGAAACCTATTTTGTCAAATGAACGATAATTTTGTGAAATTTGGGATGGTGGTCCAAAAAAAAACCTGGTTTTGTAATTGAATGTCGAGATCAGTATAATTTATTTAAAACAACCAAAGTGTTTCAAACTGAAATTGATACTTTGCACACATAATGACACACAAACTGACAAATAACAAAGAAAAAATTCATAACCCTTCCGAAACTTACATCTGCAATATTTTGCAACCCAGGAGCAGCAATGAACACAACATATGGTGAAAACTCTGCAGTACGCAACACTTTCAGTGCTTGCGGTTCGACATCAAGGATTGCCATTTTACCTTCCTGATGTATTTTTCTAATTGTATCTAGTTTTGTGCCGTACATAGCATCCTCATGAGTACCATACTCCAGATATTCATTGGCAGCAATATCAGTCATCATTTCATCATGAGAAACGAAAAAATAATTCCTTCCATTCTCTTCATCGGATCTAGGTTGTCTCGTTGTATCTGTGAAAAGTAAATTCCTTTTCAACTCAGAAACATGTATCTCTTTCTACTTCAAATACTAGAAACTCTCATGATAACTAGATAATTCATCACAATCTGAACTTTCGATAAAATCCATATATTGCCTAGATTATTCAATAACAAGTACAGTTGGCATATTCAGGAGTGGATTGAGTGACAATTATTTAAAGGACAGTAGAAAATACTAAGTCGTGTTAATAAAACATTCACCACTGAATAAACCTTGTTTATTCTTGAAAATATAGAAAGAAGTTGACACACTACATTTTGAAAAAAATGTTATCCAATTTTCCTTTAATATATAATTTTGTTTTTTTATGTAAACAGTGTCATCCCCAAAGTATGCACCANAGTACAAAACGCAGATCACTGTACAACAAAATATTATTTCTTGCAAATACTGTAACCGTATCCATGTGATCCTTCTGCAAGTATGTAAGTATGATAATCTGAGGATATAGTAATCATAGGAAAAGACAAGGTTTATTTATCATGTGGTGAAGGTGTACTAATAAAGGTCTTTAGGAAAGAAATCGAAAATTCTGGATTCACAAGCTCACATCAGTTTTGTAAACAAATCAGAACCATACTTGCCAATTACTGAAGCAATATTTACGGTTAGTATGGAAATATTTTGAAGTTCATTATAATCATTTTGTTGTATTCGGAATATACGAGGGTGATCTGAAAGGTTTTCGACCTAATAAAGATACAAGATATTCTTCTAATTTTTTTATTTCTCAACATAGTTTCATTTCAACTCTACACACTAGTCCCAGCGATGCTCCCATCTCTATAACCCATCCAAATAGTACTCGGCGTTTTTTCCTGCAAAATAATTGTTCACGAAGGTGATTGCCTCTTCATTTGATGGAAATCTCTGTCCTTCGACCGCAATTTTCAGATGAGGGAACAAACAGAAGTCACTTGGGGCTAGATCTGGTAAGAAAAGCAGAGGGTCAGACAGTTCAAACCGTAATTCGTGGATATTCGTCAAGGCAACCGCTGAGGTTCGAGATGGTGCGTGTTGGTGAAACAGGATTTTCTTTTTCTGCAAATATGGCCGTTTTTCCGCAAGTTCTGCCTTCAGCTTGTCAAGAAATGATGCGTAGTATGCTCCTGTTAGGGGTTTTCTGTTTTTGAAGATAATCTGTCCAAAAATAAAAATGTATTTTTCCGTTAACCAGCTGTCGCACTCCTACGAACGACCACCCTCAGAAGTCGAAACTTGTGCGAGCTAGGTCTCAACGAGGTCTCACCTTTTAACGTGTGATTCCTAACACAGGTTGGAGGATAGCAAGTGAAAATCGATCTTTCAGACTAGAGCTTGAACCATCGACCAACACGGAGTTAGTGAACAAAGCATCTACGTCGGACCACTTGGCTATCGACCGACCAATTTGATTAAAATAACTCCATGACTCTACCAAAAACAGTCGCCATCACTTTACCAGCTAGAAAAACAGTTTTTGTTCTTTTTGGATCCGCTTTCCCTTTTGCAGTCCACTGTTTGGACTGTATTTTAATTTCGGGCGTATAATGGTGTGTCCAAGTTTCATCTACAGTAATTGATCGGCGGATTCATTGCGCATAAACTGCGCCAACAGAGCGTTGGAAATGTTCATTCGAACACCTTTAAAGTCTAACGTGAGAAAATGCGGCACTCAACGCGCAGAAAACCTTCTCATGCCTGAATGTTCATTTAATATGTGACGAAAAAATCTTTTTGACATGTTCGTAACCACTGCTGTGTCTCTCATTTCAATTTGGCGGTCGTCTAGCATCATTTGGTGAACTTTTGCAAAGTTTTCGTCAGAAAGTTGCAGTTTTTGGACGTCCCGAATGTTCATCGTCTCCCAAGCTTTTACGGACACATTTAAATTCAGCTGCTCAAAATTTCAATGATAGTGCAGAATCCGCATACATAGAATCCAACTCATCTTTGATTTGCGTAGGCGTATTGCCTTTCAAAAACAAATATTTAATGACATTTCGATACATAACAACTGCGCGTCCAAAATGGCTGAAACTTTGTTGAGTAACTGTCAACAGATGAACAACGGAGTTCTCAAGTTTTTATTTACAAGTGCTGCTATCTTTATGTTGAGGTCGGAAACTTTCCAGACGACCCTGGTATGATTTGCATTTTATGAAGGTTTTCGGCAAAGCTATTATCTCATTCAGAACTCATCTGAAATGTATAGTGGTTCGAATGATATGAATAACCGTATACCATGGAAAGTGAAGTAGAATATTTGGATTTCCATAGAAGCAACTGAAAACAGAATAGAAGTTTCTAAACCATTTTTCTGAGTATGTTGAATACGATTGGTTCAGTCTTCATTTTTCTATGCTTCATATGTTTCGAAGTTGTTTTGTATGTGAAAAATTATAGAGTTATATGTAGCAAAAGGTTCGACCCAAAGTGCATGTTGGAGAAAATCTCACCAACTTCTGAATGAACTTTTTCTGATACAGTTCATTCCCTAAGGTGAATAATGACCCATCAAAAATATACTTTGTTAAAAATCAATTGACCGAGGTATTTTCCTGCCATATAACTCATTTACTGATTCATCATGACTACTCACGTGGTATTGGATAAGCATATTGATCAGGATGCTTCGCTATGAGAGTATTTTTAATATGCCTTCTTCCAACTCCATGCGCTCCCAATAGCACCAATGTTTTCCTCTGGAATGCTGGATCAGACACTAAAATATATTTTTGAAGGGAACATTCAAAATCAACAATAAACAAAAGACTCACTTGGTAATTTCACAACTTCCTCGTAAGTTACTAAATCTAATTGGTCAAAAACTGCATTATGTTTTGCCAAATATTTGTCCTTGTATTGTTTCTTCTTCCGACCAAATATTGAGCAATTGACTGAAACAGAAATAACTATGACGATAAGAAAGAAAATTTTGCTAAAATGGTTACAGGCAGATTATAATAATGTTTTTGTTCATCGGTAAATAAGAAAGTTAGTTAATTTCTGGCTCCTTCCCTTGCTTTGATGAATGTTTCCAGTTTTGCTGAAACAAAACTCAAAAGTGAGACAGGTGAACGGGAAACCATCTTAACGCCAACATGAAAAACAATTCATTTACTAAGGTATTAGTTTTTGATACAGAGTTCGTTGGTTCTTCTTTTTGACTTCACTTTTACTTTTTTTTCTTTCAATTGTTATATAACTGGAATAAGAAATGTCATGGAACAGGTAACATAAATAAAAATCAATAGGCAGGTCTTCTGTGTGAATGTGTGGTTTTTGTTAATGACTCATTTGTGTTCTTTCCTGTAACCGAGGGGTGCCCAATTTTTCATTTAACTACACCCTACTGATGGCGGCCATTAAACAAGAAACACGTGTCTGCAATTTTCATTTGGTCCATGCTTTGCCCATGAATCCTTTTCGTTAGGATTATTGAAATATAAAAATTTCCAAAATTTTGAGGACTATTCAGCTCAATTACTTTCAAGTTTGGAGTACTTATCAGTCAAGTCATTTGCATTAACAATTGTAAAATATACTTTTATAAGTTTTCAAATATTTTACACAAACAGTGTAACAAAAAAAAATCAATCGATTATAACAATGTTGGTTTGGAGAGATGAATTTGTATTTGCTTTGAGTAATTTTGATAAAATCGAAATGTTTGTTTCCAAAATAAAGCCACTGAATTATATAACATGTGCACATTGTGCAAGTATAGGTTGGATTTGATTCATTTGTTGGCAAACGCGTTATATTCAAGCAAAAACATTGTATAAATAGATTTTAAAATTTAATATGCAGAGTTATCTATTCAGAGTTAATACACATCAAAGTAATGGCCAAGTGACAATCTTGTATTAGATTTTTCGAATATCCCTTGAATAATTATTTTAGACATGTATCACTTCTTGATATTGAATTTATACAGGACGGTCAAAATTCTCAAAAACAAATCAATGCCTCCGTTGCTAGTTGATTATATAAAGTGTTTTTGAATACGTTCAACATAAAATATTTTGTTACCAATAATCCATACAACACACCTCTTGACAATGAGAATGTAATCCACAACAATTCAAGCGTTAATTTTACTGATATGAAATTGAAAAACGTGACGTGCTTATGCTGAGTACAAAAAAACTGCCAGCTTGTATGATAGATTATTATAAGAGTAAGAGTTTTATAGAGATTAGGTTGTTTCAAATGTTTCGTCCATTTTATTCATATATCGATGAATATTACCGGAAAAACAGATTTTAAAACAGGTTTTTTTTACTGTGTCGTGGTATATACTGAACCATACTGAACCAAAGTGCTACCGAAGTAGTTCAAAAATCAAGTAGGCATTTGGCAATGATGAATGCAATGTTAGACATCGGTTTGCGAAATTTAGTTACGGGATTTTAGCCTCGAAAATAAGCCCCGAAGTGGTCGACCTACAGTAATCCAGAACGAGGATTTGATGACCCTGGTGGCGACTGTCCCAACAGAAACAGTGGGTGGGATGGAGAAAAAACTGTGCAACAGCTCCCATGCGGTTTATGATGGTTTAAAACGTATTGGAAAGGTCACAAAGCTCGAAAAGCGGGTGCCCCACGAACGACCGACAGAAATTGTCACGTTTCTGTGGATTCTCTACGATAACAGGACACGTTCAGGATAGTGGTTGGACATCGATGAGCCACCCAGGCACTTCCTAAAGGCAAAAATTCACTTAAAAAAAGACCATAGTTACTGTATAGTGGTCAGTTTCTGCAAATGGGCCAAACCGACGAAATGCATAAGAGTTTGCATCAACAACAGCCGGCACTGGTCAACAGAAGAGGACCGATTCTGCCTTATCCACCATACCCCACAGATCTCTCGCCAACCGACTACCATCTTTTCAAGTGCTTCGATAAATTTCTCAACGGATTCCATCGTGTTCGTCAATCAGAACCAGATAAAAACGCCCTTCGTCGACTTCATAGAAACCCGAGCACTCAATTTTTATGCAGACGGAATTAATTGACTTGTGTCACGCTGGCAGAAATGCATTGATTCAAATAGCGCTTATTTCGATTGAGTATGTACTGAGATATTACAGTTCAAAATATACTCATAAAAACGTACAAAACTTTTGAAACAACCTGATATATCTGACCAAATGAAATCCTACGGCACAGAATTACGAAAATCAAGAAAATGGTATCGTAAAATTGTAATTGAGCTTCTTTTTGGGACAATTATAGTCAATGCTTATATAGTTCCACAAAAAGTAACCAAAGATAAAATGTCAATCACATCTTTCAATGAATAGTTGGTTTCCTAAGTAATCCAGAGCATTCCAAAGCAACAGGTCCACATTCTCGGGAGAGTCATCATTTGGAAGAAGTTCAAAGTTCAGTCAGAGGAAGATGTGTCACATGCTAAGCGAAAAATTCAGCAGATAGAACGTTTGCACAGATACTGTTTTCTCGATTCAAATGCACCCAGTGCAATAATTTCTATTTCATACTTAGAAGGAATGTTAATTTTTTCTCTTCAAAAATGTGCAGTTTATTACATTATGTGTAACCTATTATTTGATGAATAAAACGAGTTCGGAGACACTTCATTAATAGACACTGGTTTCCCAAAAACGTAGGCTAAGTATGCCAAACTGTTCACCAAGCTACAAAGAAAACATATCCTTTATAAAAAAACGGAAATCGAGAAGCGCCGCTATACGAGTATCACTACGCCTGAAATACGATAATGTCCGAGATGCAATGGTGGCGTCAGAAATTCGAATGTGTGCGACGCACGCATGCTTCTTCTGATATTTAAAGTGTCAAATGAAAAAAGTCTATCTAACTATCGTGGGGAACAGTACAATGATCAAGGTCCTTCTCGAGTTATACAGGGAAAACAAAAAAAGCGTTTTTTTTACGAAGTTTTTTCAATCTTCTATTGAACTTTTCGTGTCAACACTGCCAAAGCATTTTTTTTTCAAATACGGACCTGTCTCTTTTATTACAAATATTGATAGAGCGATAAAATCACAATTCGATATCCCATTTGATATGTTTATAGTTTCATTTAAATTGAGCAGCATCATCAGTAAAAAAAAATCAAACAGAAAAACAATTTATTTTATAATTTTATGTTTAGAGGAATACAAAACCCATACAGAAAATAAATTCTACGTGACAAAAAACATCAAATATTGAATGCACCCAAGATGTCTGACCATACAATTTATGTGGCAGTTTTCTAGCATAATAAGTGCAATGCTAGTACATGCTTCTCTCATTTTTGTTCGAAATGGTTGGTATCTGTACTATGTGTCGAAATAACTGTATCTTTTATGTATCCTCAGTTAAAAAAATCAAGGGATTAGGATCAGGGAATTAAGTTGGTCCAGCAATTGGCCATTGTTTTCAATCTAATTTGTTGGAACTATTGCATAAATGTTTCCTCACTTTTGCTGTATTATGGGGAGGGGCACCGTTTTGTTAAAATATTGTATTTCACAAAGGATATTCAGTTGCAATTCATTCAAGTAGCCATCAAAGTCATTGCATAAAAAATGAAGATACATTTGACCACTCAACTGCTCATCGTGAAAGAAAGGATCTAGCACGTTTGTTCCCGAAATTCCCATACGAACCAACCAACTCTCCTTCCGTAACTTCACGTATCCTGTAGAATAAAACAATCATAATTATGAATATTTTCATAACTGACCAATCTTAAATTGAAATAAAAGTTTTTTTCACTTTGTTAATCTTCATGAGGTAATGTTTGCTTATCAAAAACATTCTAATTTTACTTCTGTCAAATGAACAACAGTCTCTCGAATTCCTTTCTGATCTTCTGAACATTTGAATGTTCGGAATGCAACGATTCGGGTATAGCTCACCATACATATTTCTTGCAGAAAGAGGATTTGTATTTGATTTTGCATAAGTGAATTGCATATCAGTCCTTCTGTCATTTGAATACATCTTTAATATGTAATCGAGTGCATGAACGTCTGACATTTCTTAACAGATATCAACAACTCATTTGTTTATCCAATCATAGAAACCAAGCACAGCCTGTCAGTAGGCAGTGCTTGGGATGCTATTTAATTGTACCAAATTCGATAGTTTTTGGACGATTCCGAAATATTCCCAATAGAAATTGATTCAGTAGAAATCAGCCATGAAACAAGGAAAACTGTAATACAAAAATTTTCAAAAACGAAAACTACGAATGTTCGTTGTTTTGGGGTACCTTCTCATCGAAATTACTGAGTGATGTTTGAGGTATGCCAATAGTTGAATACGTTTTAAAGAAATTAAAACAACTCACTAATAGAAGGACCGTAATTAAAAATTGTCAGTGATGGTGCGAAATAATTTAGATGAATCACATCAGGATGACAGCCTCCTACCTCTCCAACAGACAAATTTGAGTCGAAGTCGACAACACACTTTTTAGCCTCCTAACACCCAAATCCGGGCTGACACAGGGCTTCGTACTAGCCCCCACCCTATTCTTAGTCTACGTCCACGACGCTCCCACTACCCAGATAATTCTAAAATAAGCAGACAACACAATACTATTCTCCTCCGCACCTAACACCAGACCACAGTAAAAGAACATAACAAACACAAGACATGACAAACCAACAGACAAAAACCCAGACTAGACATCAAAATACTACAACTCGACCCAGACTAAACGCCAACAACTTGAACTTCGACTTTAGGAGAACAGTCAGTGACTTACCTGGAGGTAGGTTAGGTTAGGAACAAGAACACTTAACTGTGAAACTGACCTGAGAGACACCCTGGACAGAGTCAGGAAAAGAGCAAACCTCCTCAAAGCCTTAAGGGGCAAGCCACGATCTATTGAGAGACTGACACACCGCATACGAACC